GACCTGAAAATCTATACATCTAATATTTTTAGTAATCAATAATAACCATAGTTCTGTCATCTGTGTCTTTATTTTTATACCAATATTCACGTGAATGGGCACTTAAATCGTGTTGTTGGCAATTGTTAATTAAGTGGTAATTATCATTATTAATACAAGTGTTGGCTGTTGATAATTAAGTAACAAGATAACTAAACAACACTTGTGTAGGAAAATCTAAATTTTGATAAATGAGAATAATTAGTAAACAACAAAATGTTTTTGGCGTTGAGGTGTCACGGTCTTGTCCGAAGAAAAGAGGCCGTACGTTAACGTGGAACAATTATCATACGCAACTCTCTTCAAGACAAAAAGATATATAAAGTATAAACAAACAAAAAGATCAAAAAAGATCTTCAAGAAAAATTTAATCATATAAATGCTCTCGTTGAGAGTCGAACTCAAGACCTCCCGCTTACTAAACGGGTGCTCTAACCAACTGAGCTACGAGAGCATCTTGGTGCACAAACTCCAATCACATTAATAATTCAAAATCCAAATAGTTCACAATCTACATATTCATAATTTTTACTCACAACAATAACAAAACTATAACGATCATAACGCAGGAAAAGCTCTCTTCGATAATCATTTTTTCTTTTTCCCAAACTGTTTCAATTACATGACAAGTTTCCACAGTAATAAAACAAATATACGATCAGTGTCTATACAGATCCTCATTTCCCTTCAAAAGAAAAACAAACAAAAGGAGCCGAAAGATATTTCACTTTTGCTATATATCACTCTCCTTATTTAGAGTTTAGAAATGACTCTAAATATCATCATCTCCATGCCCAACCACTATGCGATATGAAGTGTCTAAAGTCCGGTAGAGTTACCTTCAACCGCCTGAGCCACTCTTCAGCTGTTCGTAGCAGTGTTCCGACTCTCTGGTTCTCGTCTACGTCACTCTCTGGGCTCCATACTGACAGTTTAAACTTGTAGGACGCGAGTCCGAAAGTGGGTAAAGGAAGCTTCGACGATGCAGAAACCGATTTGCTTGAGCTTTGACCTTCCTCATTGCTTGTACCTTTAACCAATAATAAAAGAGTTGGTTTGTGATGTTTTGTAATAAGCCCATGTTTAGACTACGTTTTATATATGCAGAGCAGACTTACGTCGACAGGGGGTTGACAAGGAGTGGAATGTTAAAAAGCAAGCGTCGAGGTTTTGTAACGATTGACCTAATGGTATTCGGTATATTGGGTACCTTCAAGAATGTGAGGAGAAAATAATATTTAGAGAGAGATTCGAAAAATTATACTCATGAAAATGTGGGAAAGGACATGTTAGATGCAATACCAAGCAACAGAGACCCAACTCGAAGGTGATAGATCACAGCTCCTGTATGTTCTGAGTGCTGGGAACTGCGATGACAGGTTTGAGATCTGCAATATTAAAGGTTAAAAATTATTATGTGACCGAACAAAGCATTTTCGCCGGCTCTAAAATTGAACACCATGTGAGGGGTCGAGGCACTGTTGTTACATGTATAAGCAGACATAATAAACTTACCTTGTCGGTCAATGGTTCACGGCCAAATGGCATAGCACCCTCAAGATACTCAAAGACAAGTTCACCAGGAGAGTTACTGCTGGCCTCACTCTCATCGCTCGATGAACCAATGCAAGGTTTCTCTTCCAAAGAGGCTCTGTATAAACTCTGAGAAAGCTCTCTACAGTCATTACTGCCATCGCTACTCATGTCTCTAGGAGAATCACCATCACTTTCTTCACCAACTCTCCTATTTAAGAACACACATCAAAACAAAGATTTTTAATCTAAAAGGCAGAAACGAAGTGGGAATTAAAGAGGAAACCAAAGAGACAAAACAAATTTGGAATTCAACACCATGAATACACTTGAACTCTAGTTCCTATTTTCCTACAGCGGCTCCATGTTTTGCTGATCTTATTAACGCAGACCAGACTAGTTTTTGAGAGCACGAAAGTTGTTATGTATTAGTCATCCAAATGAATATCTCTAGATATTGTAGCAGAGAAAGCTTAGAAGTTGGTTTTTCTATCATACTAAAGAACGTGCATCCGAAGATTCAGAACAACCCAAGGAAGATGTGGCCTCATCTCAAAATATATAAATTGGCAAAAATCAACTGCTAAATATCAGCTTGCCTACTTCAGAGCAAAGAACCAGATCACTCCTGCTAATGGTTGATACGAAACAAATAAAATATAAGCAAAATGATAAGAACTGACCTCCTACTTGTGCAGGCTCTGGATGGATCTTCATAAAGCTGAATTCCAGATAAATAAGGAACATAATACTGAACAACCGAATCATTCCCATTTAAAAGAAGAGGAACCCCGACACCGTAAGCGCTCCACTCCTCAAAAGAATCCCACAAATCATTCAACAAGAAAAAGGGACAGTACTCTGGTTCACGAGTTCTCCACCCCTTAATGCTTGTCTGAAGCAAGAACACAGAAACAATGAGTGAGCCTAACAACATCACAATTGTTCTTAACAAAGCATAATACTTGTGATTCTACTAACTTCATAACATGTTTCTCAAATATATAATCCTAAATGGCGATAATACCAAGAATTGATCAAAGTTCTCATTTTCAACGCTTGATGCTAATATTCTCATCTTAATCCAATTGAAATCGGAGTAATTTACCAAAGGCAAGTACTGCGTAGAAACAACGGGAGTGGTGCAATCCAGAAACCGGCCCAAATTGGAAGAAGTTCCGGTGGTGGTGGTGGTGGTGGAGACCCGACTCGGCAAAGAACAATCAGAGGTCGAGCACTCATCACGTTGCTTCATCTCCTTCTCCTCCGCTATAATCTTACGATCGAGCATCTCCTTGGCCCGCATCTTCTCCTCCTCCGCTTCAAGTCTCTTCTTCTCACGCTCCTGTTGAAGTTTTCTCATCGGAGGTGGGTTATAAAACCGATTCTCGCCGCGGATCCTACGGGTAGTCGACATTTCTACAGGCCGGCGATGGAAAAAAAGTAGTTGGGGTGATGATGGTAGCGTTGTTCGTATTCTTCTTCTCTTCTTCGTCTTCTATGTGACGAAGTTTGAAATGTTAGGGTTTTAGACTTTTTGAGTGAATTAAGAGAGCAGTCAAAGATGCTTATGATTGAGAGATTTTATTGATTTTGTTTTGATAAATTATCCAAATTGTAATATTAATTGACTCACAAAACGGTAACGCGTTTAATCCGTTGCCAAAAAGACATGTCGATACAAACATAACAAAAAAAGACATGTCGTTTGGATTTTAGAATCCGATATGTGACAAACAAATTATTAATTAAATAATAAATACGTATTAATTAGTTGATTAGATTATTGATATGTATTTTTTTCTTGTTCTACTTCTCATTTTCTATAAAAACAAAATTAATGTGATCAACATTCTCAAATGTATTTGTGCTTTGATGATTGAAGCATTTCTCGGACTCTCTAAAAGAATACATACGAATATTTATGGGTTGGCTGATTTTTCAGCCCTTAACTATTCGCAAACTCAAGGAATCCCCCTATACTTTTTCGCTCTTAAAAAACCACCAACAACTAACAATTTTCTCAATTAAACACCACATACTTTCGGATTCATCTTGATAAATACGCCTCCAATCGAACCGGTCATTAAACCGGGTTTAACCACAAATCCGCGTTTATTCTACCGCGATTAGGATTACCCGTTTGATTACCCATGACTCGAGAGTTAAAACGACGTCGTTTTGGCTCTTCTCTTTATTTTGAGAAATAAATGCTCCCTGGCTTTGTTTTGAGAATTCTACGCTCTAACCGGAAACCGCCATCGTCATCTTCTACTGCAGTTTCAGAGAATGAACAGAGAGAACTACTGGAGACTATAACCTCTAATCTTCCATTAGATAAAAGCTCCATTTACTCAACAACGAGATTCCTCTTCGGCTTGTTACGAACCGCCATCATCCTCAACGCCTCCGAGATTTGCCGTGATCTGTTGGAGAGAAAGATCGGAACACAGCTAGAGAGAGCCACGCTCGACGATTTGCTCGTCCCTAGCTACTCATACCTTAACGAGACTTTATACGATGTTGATTTGGTAGAGAGAATCTTAGCTCACTTTCTCGACACCTTGGAACAATCAAACACCGCCGTAGTCGAAGCTGACGGAAAATCTCCGTCGCTTATGCTCGTCGGGAAATTAATCGACGGATTTCTCGCTGAGATCGCATCCGACGCTAATCTCAAATCGGAAAAAATGGATCTGATAATTTCGTTTTCTTCAATAGGCGCATCCATGGGTATCGGAAGCAGAGAGGGAGAAGATCTGCGGCGTGATGGATTGTCAGAAACTGACGTTGGAAGCGTGCACACACGCCGCGCAAAACGAGCGGTTACAGCTCCGGCAATGTTCCCTGGTTTTGTTTTGAGAAATAAAGAGAAGAGTCAAAACGACGTCGTTTTTAACTCTCGGATCATGGGTAATCAAACGGGTAATCCTAATCGCGGTAGAATAAACGCGGATTTGTGGTTAAACCCGGTTTAATGGCCGGTTCGATTGGAGGTGTATTTATCAAGATGAATCCGAAAGTATGTGGTGTTTAATTGAGAAAATTGTTAGTTGTTGGTGGTTTTTTAAGAGCGAAAAAGTATAGGGGGATTCCTTGAGTTTGCGAATAGTTAAGGGCTGAAAAATCAGCCAACCCAATATTTATTTAATTGAGTGGACTACAAAAACTTGAAATCTGAAAGAGGCGCTGCATAAACCATTTGAAGTAACGATGTTTGACTAGAGGATTAGGACATATCAGATCAACCAGTATTTTGTCCGAGACATGACTAATGGAAACAGAAAAGCTTTGAGAAAATGCATTCGTTAAAACTAACCCAAATGGAAACTACAGCTACTGAGTACTGATTTTAGGGCCTACTATTTTAATAAATATCAGTATACTTATTTTAATAAATGCTTCAGAAAATTTATTGTAACAGAAATATCAAAAATCACATTATATTCAACACACTAATCTTAATCTAGCTATACTGTAGTTTTCTACACTGTTTTAATTTTCATACATAAAATTAGACAAAGGTCTAGTAAATAAACTGAACACGGGGAATGTGGTGGACTTTATAGTGATCTTGTCCTCCTTCAGACAATTTCCACGCCCATTCACTCTCCCTCCACCCAATTGTCAGTTCTTTTAAGGATTTTATGTATATGACCTCATCCGGAAGCTCCTTCAACTTTCTGCATTCATTTATAGTCAAAGTATGAAGACATGACATGGAGCCTTCTTCTACTATCCACTCTTCCAAATCATATTGTCCAGATAAATTTAGCTCATACAATCGAGGAAACCCGCCTTGTGAGCACACCATCCTCTTCCCAGTGAAAGCACGATATGATAGCTCAACAAATTTCAAGTGAAACAACTTCTCTAGAATCGGCATTGGATCCTCTTCCATGCAACAATACCGAAGACATATGTGCGCAAGGTTTGGAGGGAATCGATGTTGATCAGGCAATCTAGTCATATACCTGCCCACCGTTAAAAATTTGAGATGAATCGAATCAAGAACTAATTTTCCTTCATTATGCCTACAATGCATGACCTCGTACAATGAAAGCTGCTCGAGTTCTCTCGATTCACAGAGAGATGCAGACAGAGTTTCTAAAGTACAACCATCAAGGGAATGGACTGTGAGAGTTCTGAGCTTAGTCATACCAAGAAGGTCTTTCACACTACTGTTCTCTATTGAGTAACCCCTCAAGGTCTCTAGGTTTACCAGATCACCCAATTCCAACTTTGTTTTAACATCCATTAGAAAAGGTAAGATAAGGTACCTCAATTCTCGCAGCTCTTTCAAAACATTTGGCACATGAACTGAAACTCCATCGACACCTAAGTTCAAATAGAGCAGAAGCTTCAGATTCCGTAGAGAAGAAGGTAGATGAGATACAACAGCCCTGTATAAGCTCAAGAATCTCAAATGGATGAGCTTTCCAATGCTGGAAGGTAACTTCCCTTCTTGAAACTTGGCTCTAGAAAGATCCAACACTCTGAGAAACGGTAAACTTCCAAAGTTTGAAAGTGATTGTATCACAGCTTCTTCCTTGGCCTTGAAAAACAAAAGAGATCTAACTTTCTTAATTTTTCCACGTCCCATCATTTCGAATGCATTACTACTGTGTACAGCGAGTCTGCGAATAGATTGAGCATTGATGGTTGAGGTAGAGGTAGAGGTAGATGTAGGGTCTTGGACGATTTGTAGAAAGTTCTCTTCTTCGGCTTTAGATAAACAAACTCCTCTCATGATGTCATGCATATGACATGACTCAATTCTCGAAGTCAAATAGCTTCTTTCAGCAATAACCATATTTCTTCTCACTAACTCTTCTAGGTAGCCTTCCGCATTATCTTGAATGGTTGACCGATAGATCATTATAAGTCCTTCTGCAGCCCAGTAATTAAACAGTGTCTCCACATCTATCTTGTAGTCTTCAGGGAAATGGGCGAGGTAAAGGAAGCAATGCTTTAACCCCATTGGCAAATCTTCATAGCTCAAAGACGAAATTCGGTAAACCGAATTGAAATTTAAGCCAGATCCTCCTACTATATGAGGTCCAATATTTTCATATACTCTTTTCCACTCGGAAGCTGTATGTTTCGTAGCTAACAATCCTCCCAACACTTTAACAGCTAACGGTAGTCTTCCACAATGTGAGACCATTTCCTTACCCATGACTTTCAGTTCTTCATCAACCCTATATTCTGCACATCATCACAAAGTGTTATCTTTCAAGTTTTGAGCCTTTAAATAAAGATATTTCCTAATTACATCACTTCCCAAAAAGATTGGCCATGTTGGGAGTATTTTAGTCAGATAACCTAGAGGATTGTTGATATAAACATCTTAATGATTCTGATCAACAAAAAATTAAAAGATGAACAATTTACAACATCCTCCGTTTTATATATTAAAGTATACCTGCTTCGCCTCTCCTAGGAAATGCTAGTCTTTGGCATAGAGTCCAACTTTGTTCAGGCGTTAGGCTTTTAGGCCTAAAAGAAAAGCATGTCGGATCTGCATGTAAACCAACACTTTCATTGCGGGAGGTAAGTAACATCTTCCAACCTGCAAAATATTTCTGAATTACAATTGGGAATGAAAGGCATTTATGACCAAATGTGTGCAAAGATGTGTGCACAGAAACAATGCATTTATTTGATAAGAGCTCACCTCTTTTCTGTGGAAACACTTCTTTTATTCGGTCCCAGTCTTCTACTTTCCATATATCATCTAGGACAATCAAATATCTGTCAGTTTCCAACAACTGAAAGAGTTTACCTTGTTGTGTAAACTCATCCATCTGTAAAATCTCCCCATCATTTGGCCTAAGTTCTTGCAAGATTCTTTGCCAAACATACTTCTGTGTAAACTGTTGCGAAACACAAATCCATGCGAATCCGTCAAAATGACGTCGTACTTTGTCATGATGAAAAACTTGTCTGGCCAAAGTGGTTTTACCAATACCACCCATCCCAGATATAGAAACCACTTGAATGTTATCATTTCCCACCAATTGACCAACCAAATCTTCAACACTCTGATCCACCCCCACAAGATCCCTTTCAGAATTGTTAGGATATGTTTGTCGGACTTCCCTTTGTCTATCCTGAAGGGACAACGAACGCCCACCATCAATGATCTGTAGTATTCCAAAACTCTGCATTCCCTCAATCACATCAGAGATCCTCTTAGTTATTCCTTTGATATCCGAAACTATTTTCCGGTGATCAACTAAGACGGAAGCAAGTCTGGTGACACGCTTCTTGATCCCTTTTTCTTTTCTTCTTCCTTCTTTCAAAAGAAAGGTTTCAATTATATCCTCAGCATCATAAACAATGTCTTTTACATCTTCCAAGAAGTTCCTAACCCTTTCACTTTCATGTTTCTTAGCATCTGCATCTTTCAAGAAAGATCGTAACCTTCCCAACTGACGTTTTAGTTCGGAAACTTGCTCGTGAACCCCTTGAAACTGCTCAGATTCTCGACTCACAAGATCCCAAAGCTTCTCAATTCCAAACAAGATAACTCCTTCAGCCATAACTACTCGTCTCCTGTTCCACCATATGAACACAGAAGTCAACAATCACTGATGAGGGACTATCACAAGAAGTCAAGAACCCACAATCACCAAGTGAAACATTCTTGGAGAAATTAATTAAAACCCTATATGGATGGACACATCGTTCTAGTGTGATATTTCATCATATCCAAAAACCAAAATAAACTTTTCTTGATATATAACTACAGAAACCCATAACTATGATTCAGGTTTGTGGTTGACAACAAAAAAAAAAAAAAAAAAATCGAATTCGTGAAACAAGACTCGTGATCATTCAATTCAGACATACTAATCTTAAAGCAGATTGAAGTCACCAGATTGAAGTCACCACTCACCAAAACAAGATACAAAAAGACAGATCAACGTCTAACAAGTAGAAAAATCAGAAGAAATGAAGAAGATAGCATCATATACATACCTCTCGTTTGAAATATACTAGCTTGTGCTCGCAGCAATTCTTTGGAAGAAAATAGATGAGCTTTTAGTCTTCAATGACAAGGACTCGTGAGTCATTATTAAACACGGCTTCTTGACTTCTTCTTTTTTTTAAAAAAATTATAAAGAAATTTTAAAAAGGGACATTGCTCGTTTCTAACTCGAACCAGTTTCATACTAGTTACTCCTAGTCCTAGTTAAACTATACAACTACGGGAGGCTGCTGAGATTTATGCCGTATTCGTAGAAGGTCGAAGTTGTTTGATGCCGTATTAGTAGAATTTTTGTGGGAGTTTTATATCAGGTTTTGTCATCTCGTTTTATAGGATTTTTATTTTCTATGCAAAAAGCGTATCAGGTTTTCTCACAAATCTAGTGGATTTGTATATTATCTCTGCAGCAGTACCTTATATAATAATAAATGTATTTACGCACGATGGTAAAGTTAGTAACTTAAAACCATGAATGGACTCAAGTGACCTTGGAAGCTGCGGATTTTTGACTAGGATTAGGACATACCAGATAAACCAATATTTGGTCTGAGCCACGACTAATGGGAAACAGAAAAGCTTTGAGAAAATGCATTCATTAAAACTAACCCAAAAGGAAACTACAGCTACTGAGTACTGATTTTAGTCTAAAGAGTTTTACTTTGTCCAACACAAAAGACCAAAGCTATTACAGATTTACACTACCAAAAGAAGCAGCCCAACTAACTTTTAATTGTCATTTTTTCTTTTCTTCCTTTTTCCTTTTACCTTTGAATCTGATCTGAACCAGAGTTATTAGCCACCGACGCACTCGAAGGCCGTCCGTTTTCCGTCCCTGCTTTCTCCACTACACCCCATCTTCTAAAAGGTTCCGGGGTTTCGAGAACTTTAACCGATCCATCAGAGAGTCCAACAGCTATTTGGTTCGGTTCTTGAGGATGAGCAGTAATTACCAATGGCATGATTGGAGCACTGTTTGCAGAAAGAAACAGAATTTTTTTTGTCAGACAAATAGATCGCTTCAAGTAGTTACAAGCTTCATATGGAATAAGATTGTCAAGGTTAACTAACCTGTTTGGTGTAGGTTGGGGCATGTAGGCTGATGGGCCAATGCGACATCTGAGTCTCAAGTATTCAGCATCGAAGACTCCGATGTTTCCATCTGCAAATGATGCGTAAACCAGTTGACTGTTGCAGGAGTAAGATGCGCAGGTTATGGATGACGAGAGTGATTCTTGTGGCATCCACTGCATTAAAAGAGACAACAACAAAACTAACAAAATGAGAAATAAGCTTTGTCGATGCTGTGTAATTCCAAGAGAGAAAAATGAGGCAATGTCGTCTCATTATGCCAGTTACGATGGAATCTCAAGAGAGAAAAAAATTAGGATTTGGCTGTGGATTATCCAAATGATGAGGTAAAACTGTTTGGACAGGATAGCAGAAGCATATGTGTGGCCTAAACCGGAAAAGCAAAAGATACTTTATATACTCTTCACTGAAATTAGTGAAACATATTATTTTCGTACCTTCTGAATGCACTCCATCTTTGAACCGTCATATATGGCTATCTGTGTCTCATGAGAAACCAGTAAATGGACCTGGTCGTTGTGGAACTGGACACGAGTATCGCCTACTGGTGGCTTCCCAGCTGGTAGTTGGATAGCTGAAGATTTCTTCTTCTCCCATGAGTCAGCACTCCAAAAGAAAAGCTATAGCATAGAGAGGTCCATAAAGTTACAGCCAAGTTTGATGAAAGCTCAATAGCAATAACGAGAAAATTAAACGCTTAGTATACCTGGGCATCAGCACCAGAGGAGACCAGAATATTGAGAGTGGCAGAGAATGCTAAACCAGTGATGTGCTTTTGGTGGCCTTTCAATTTTGTTTTCACCTGTAGGTTGAAAGAAAGATTCTCCAAAGTTAAAAGAAGAACTCAGAGTGCAAAAGATATATTGTAGCAGTTAGCTCAACACAATCTTTACAGACAATTAAATCAAAAGTTCAATATGGATACCTCGTCTTTACAAAAATCAGTAATCACGATGAATTAATTACCTCATCTACCCTGACGTTGTAAATATGAATAGTTGAATCCTCCATCCCAATTGCAATGATGTTATTATCTTGAGGATGAAATGCCAGGAACGTTGAAGCAGGAGGAGGTGGCATGAAAGTAGTCATTACCTATGAACAGAGTGAAATTCCAGTAAGTCCACATATTTGACACAGATCAGTTCTTGGCTTCCATTACAAGCCAAGTATACCAAAGTTATAGTGTTATAGCATCACTGGTAAAGACGTAATTGTCTGAGCACAGGGGAAAGAATAGATAAGAAGCTTACCTTAAATGTCATCATATTAAAAAGTGAAACCTTTCCACCACAAGCAGACATTACATACGAGTCATTCTTAGAAAGGGCTATGCACGGCACAGTTCCCTCAGGATTCTCCGGAACATCATTTGTCATTAAGAGACCACTGTTAGGCTGCCAATGCTGTGGAGTGACACTAGCGGTAGCCTTGAAAAGAAAAATAACACTCTCAGCGACTTGGAAGGGAGAACATAGAAGTAATCAAAGCACACATACTTTTATGCGTACTTATAATATATACAGATATATCAAACTGTGCGAGGTGTAGAAGTTAAGTTTGTATTACCTTCCCTGTTGGATTTTGCTCGCTGCGGCTCCACTTCCATAGTCTCTGGACACCATTTGTTCCAAGAGCCAAAATACCAACACCCGAATTTGTATAAAGAAGCCGAGCAACCTTAAACATGAAAGTGGCAAATATAATCCCCATTATTGTAATACACAAGCAGGATAAGTAATGGAAGTCCCCAGCTGAAATGAATAAATTTATTAAGGAAATAAATAACAAACCTTGCTGACCGAATCCTTGCTATCTGGCATGGTCACTTGTCGGCACTGAGCAGGATCAACAATTTCCATGAGCTCCAAAGGTTTGGACTTTTCAACAGACTCCACGTGTCTTGGATTCTCCATAGGTCTTGACATTGCATCAACTCCGTTCTGTACACATAATATCAGCAAAGTTGGAGGACAACCCCGCAATTTGTATAAACAGAGAGAAACTTATGAACTATCAAAACAAGATATATTTATCAGTCTGGCCACAGTTCTAATATCCCAGATCAATAAGTTTGCCTGTGGGACTAAATGCATGGATAAAGTATTTTTGATCAAATCTGTGAATTTGAGTGATGCCATTAGTGTATCAGGATGAATTGTACAGAAACAATAAGCCGATATGTTGCAACCATACATGGCTCTACCTGTCCCCTATATTTATCTATTACTGAAAGATTATAAATAACGTAAAGCCGAAATATAATAAAACATACAGGAATAGGGGTTGGCCTTGCAGGAGAGCCAATATCCATTTGTTCCATTTTACCAATAGATGGGCCAATGTTTGTAACCATTGCAGACGAGGATACCTGATTACCCAGAACAAAATTATAAGTTCTATTCGACGAAAGGTATGGGAAATTTTTTTTCAAGAAAAGCGCATAAGAATAAGTTTTAACCTTCATATCTGCCGATGATCTGGATGCTTCGAAAGAACGAGCTTCCATGACCCTTAAGGTTCTCAGACCATCCCCATTAGCAAGGATTTTGAAACCGTTATCAGCTGTACTAACAGCAAGAAGGTTTCCTTCCTTGTTGAATCTCAATCGGGGAAGGATCTGATATAGGCAGTACATACCACAGTATCAACATATGCAACCATAAAAAGGAGAAAAAGAAAATAATATATACTAGTCAGCTTGAATATCATACCGGGAGTCCTCCATCAGCCTCCACAGTTGTTAAGATATTAGTATTGTCCATATCCCAGAATTTTACTTGGTTATCTTCACCAACAGCCAAGAATCGGTTGCGTGTTGTATCAAACTGAACCACCCCTGTAAATTTCTTTCTAAAGCCCAAATATGTCCTCTTTATGGCACCTTCACTCTCATTCCACTCAACCAGGAAAGAATCTCCCTCTTTACTTGTTCCACAAGAAAATAATCTGAAACAATGGGAAACTTTAATATTTACTATGGCCGCAACTTGTAGCAGATGATCTGTAACTTCTTTATTAATTTGATAACTAACTAAATTCTTATAAAAAAACCTTCCCACCCGCAAGTTTGTTACTTTTTTATATAATTTAGCTGTCTTATATGAGCCACTGAAAGTTTACGACTTTTTTTATAGTTTTCAAATTTTCAAAACTAGACGACGAATCAAGGGTTTTATGAAGATGTATAATTTTAGATTCAAGTTCAAGTTCTAGCTTGTCGAGCAAGAAGAAAGTACCTGCTACCATCAGCACTGTATAGCATCGTTGTACACCACTGTCCTGGTGCATCATAGTCAACTCTAGAACCCACATTATCATAGAGCCAAGCCTTGATCTTACCATCAAGAGCAGTTGAGAATATAAACTGCATGAACGAAAAGAAACATATTTAATACAAAAGTAAAATGTAAAAACTTTCACTCTTAATTTACACCCACAGGGAATCCACTCCAGAAGATGAAAGTTTCTGTTCAATACAGCCAAAATGGAACATGATTGCTATAACTAATGGAAAAAATCCTTCTGGACTTATCGACAAGAGATGGCTGTACCTGGATATTTTCTTTCTGGTGAGGGCAGATGGAGTAAACTGGAGCCTCGTGCCCTTCAAAGGTATAAAGTTTCTTCCCACTCAAATCCCAGACCTATTCACAAAGTATCTGTCAGACAGCTACAAAGGGAAGCCACAGAAAAGGCACGTAACAGCCTCAGAATTTTCACTGTTTTTTCTTTGCATACTTACCTTTATCAATTTATCTTCCCCACAAGTCACAATACAAAGTTGCTTATTTGGGTGGGCGAAGGCCAAGTCATGCACAGAGCCAACATGAGCATCCATCTATAAGCAGAAACAAACTATTTGTTCACTTTGTGCAGATGTCATGGCAACGTTAAATTAAGAAGGAAAAAAAAGGAATAGGCATGCCTCTAGGTGTTGACGTAATTCAGACCCTTGGTAAGAATATATATGGATCAGATGTTTAGAAAACGCAACCCCTGTACACGAGAAAAAGGTATCAGATTCAAACATTGTGTCCAGTTGAAAAGATATATTTGATGATCTTCAAAATAGCGTACCAATGAAATTTCCATCTGGACTCCATGATACACGACTGACAGATACTGATGGGTCCTTGACAATAGAACCCTGGAAAATTGACAAGATGAAGATGTCATCATTACATATAAAGCTGATGGTGCATTGTTTAAACTTCTTCTAATAGAACAGAACACAAATCAGTCAAGCATGTATCAGAAACAAAGCATCTTTCGTTTTCCACGGTGTAGTTAGGTCATAAGTATAGGATACAATTAATAATTTATGAAAGGAAAAGCGATGAGATTCTCAATCACAGTTTTGAAAAAGGTGAAAGACCAACCTGGAAGATCACAGAACAAGCTGCCATATTCCATATCTTGAAAGGCTCTGTGAAAAGCTTCTCTCTAGATCCAACTTCCCACAAGGTGAATTCGCCGCTGGAACAACCAACTAAAAGTAACAAACAGTATAAGTGGAAACATGAGCCAAACAAAGCTCAAGTGCTCAACTCTGTTAGTTTCTACATAGTAGCATGAGACTAACCAGTGAGCAACGTATGATGGGAAGGATGAAAATCCATGCTTGTCACCAATGACCCTTGGCGCATTGTACTCACTACATTTCGAGGGAGGTCATCAAGTGAGGCGGTAGGCTGAGAATGAGCAGGATATGTGACCTGGAACATAAGAAATACAAGCCATATACTCAACATCATACATACAGACATGCAAAACAAGAGTTTTATTTTCGTAGTGGTCATGAACAATCTGCTAAAACCAATGAGGCATGCATCACAAACTTACTATCGCAATCTTAATGATTACAAATATTTACACATGATGCAACCGTATATTTAGCCCCTCTGATAATAATAAATTATTATGAAAAGCTGATAGCCAAAATTGGACTGTCAAAAGAACTTTATACACTAAATTAGCATTATGGAAAGCAAAAATATGTCAAGTGATTTATCAATCATAAGAAAAATAATTACCTCATCACCAGTTGGTCCAGACCGTAAACGTTTCATAAGTTGCTCATGATCAGCACTTTGATAATCCATCATTCCAAGGGAGTTTGAGGGTGGCCGAGGGTGTTTTAGCATGGCAACTGCCATGAAATACAGCAACAAGGATTCAGAACTAGGAATAAACTATTAAAATTCACTTTCCAACACACCAAGATTACAATCCTTTGAACCATGACAAGTATTCTCTATCCTGTATTTACTCATGACCAAATATTAACTCTGCACATCATTAGTAGCATTATGTTACCACCCGCCTAAACATTGGAACAACAAAACTTACCTTGATTTGGCTGCATAGGAAATGGGGAAGAGGCCACAACACCACCAGGAACTGATGAAGATGGATTTGGGTTTGCCATCCATCCAGCTAAAGCATTTGCGTTAGGAGCCGGAGCAGAAGTAGGCTGAAAAGGCTGTACAGAATATGATTACACAAATTACATCCATTTCTTAAATATATTATAAAGTTATTGAATATGTAAAAAATAATTTTATTGTAAGGTATGTGATCGTACTCCACCATGTACCCCAAGAGGAGCATATGTTGAAGGCTTTGCAACAGCACCAACTGGAAGAACAGGAGTGGGTGCACGAGCTCCATTTTGTGGTGAACAAGTGTGATCAGTGAACAATGTTTTGATGTCTGGATTAGGCCTTGGGTTTTTACATAGCTGATGTTGCCAATTCAAGCTGCAAATTACCAAAAGCATCGAACCTTAGGTCATGTAAAAGACTAATATGACACAGTTCACTAGCTGGTTCAGAAAATAGGCTAGATAAACTGGTTTCAGTCATTGCACTCGACAAGCATAACAAAACAAACACGTTTTAAATTGACCCTAATGACAGTTTTCCATTTCCAAGTGGTTGAAAACAAGAAGATTAACTGATACCCGGGGTTGATCTCATAATCATCCAAGTACCACTTTTCTGATGCAAATCACTAGAATAATGGCGTGATTACACAAACAATTGGCAGATATGGTGATCATCCTTTTAAGAAAACACAGTGGAACAATCAACTTTTAGAGATATCCGCTTGATTATGATCATATATATAAAACTATAATCTCTGTAAATGAAATTGAATCTCGAAGTATGTCTAATACCATTTGGAAAACACCAGAACATAATAGGCACACACATTTTCTTGACATTGATGGCGAATAAAAAAAAGAATTAATATCTTTGTAAACAAGGAGTTACCTTTGATTGATCAAGGTTCGCAGGCGTGAAGCCTTGAAAGTGGGTAAAGCAAGCTTCTCTCTAAACAGAGGATTTGCCTCAATCAATTTTCTCAACTCCCCAAGCATAATACCCCTAGCTGATTTGGTATCACCATATTTCGATAACTGGTCATTTTCCCTGGAAAGAAGAGCACCACAGTTTAACAACAGATGACTGCCATTGATACCTTTAAACTTTCAAACTATCAAATACACAGCATTATACCTAAAATTCTCCAGAGTTAGAAGCTGAGTGATTTCCTTGTAAAGCTCCTCGTTGAATGTTGCAAAAACTTTCAAGTCCTTTGCTAATATCTCAACAGCTTTTGCCCTATCATTTCTGAAAACAAGAACAACAAAACATATGTTTAAGATAATGCAAAGACACAAACAAAAGGTATCTCCGAAAAAAACATCCTCAACCACAAACACCACAAAATAACCAACAGTGTTTTGGACCACACAAATCAACAAGACCAGAACTAAACACGAACAACCAAACGAGCCCTAAACCCTATCAGAACAACCGCAATTTCAAGAAAAAAAGCCAAGAGAACATTCAAAATTACCGATCTAGTGCTTCGAGATACTTTTGCTTCCTGATCTCGAAGAAAATTTTCATCGAGTAACGATTATCATCAACCTTAGTGAAACCAGAAAGATACTTCTCCACTTCGTCCCACTCCCCAAGCAAAGCCTTCTCTTCAAAGTACTTCAAATTGAAAAAGTACCCCGACTCTTGCTCAAGCCTACACAGCGAACAAAACACCCAAAACAAAATTCTCAGATATACAAACAAAAATAACCTAAAGACGAAATTTCGAAACAAGGCTATGATTAAACTTACTTGTGAACAGATTCTTTGAACTTTTCTTCATCTAAGAACTGGAGAATTAAGAAAACTAACTCTCTGCTTAGAGATGACATTTCGTCAATTCTCAAGCTAGCGATTATCGAGGAAGTGAGAATTGAGGCGATCTGGGTAATGGTGAGAGACGGTTACGCTAATTTCCCAGATCGATGGTTGAAGTTAAAAATGGTTTTTCTAGGGTTTGTGTTTTGGGTTCGATTTCTTCGCGTCTCTCGAAACTAAAGAAGGAAAGCTGACCCAGAAAACAATTAAAATAAATCAATTCAAATTTAAAAAATTTCCTCTTTTTCTTTCTTTTTTCTTTTTTTTTTTAAAAAGAAAAAAGTATGACTTGTTCTCCACTTTCTTCGATGCGTTTTGCAGGTTTTTATAACACCGACTGTGATTTGATAAGCTAGTTAGGTTATATTTGATAAGTAAAGCTTCTTATCAAATTGAGGTGATAGCCTCGTTTGTCGGAACCGCTCCGCTTTTGGCGTTTTTCCAGTACAGCTCAGCACACCGAAGCTGGAATAGACCGAATTTATTTATCCAGATTCCAGAGTGGTTTGTATTTATTTCTTAAAACACTAATTCAAAAATCGACAATTTTTATTTTCAAACATTCACCATTTATTTTTATAATTTAAAACTTTAAGATATTTTATTATTGAAAATTACCTCTTATATTTACACAATATACTTTTTCCTGATTATTTGTCTAGATTTACATAATATATTCAAATATTGATTTTCTTAAACAACTCTTACTTATTTTACTAATATGTATTTTGGTTAATTTTTGCTTTTAAGTGAGAAAAAAATATGTACATATAATTAGTATATGTAAATATATTTGTAAAACAATTAGTTTACTAATTTGGTTAAAAAAAAATAAAGTCAAAAAATTTACGCCACATGTCGACATTTAATTGTTTAACTGACACATATCATAATATGGTAAATAGATTATCGATTTTTATCTATATCAGATTTTTGTTAAAGAGTTCAAAGTTTATGTATGTGCTAACTCTCTTTCTGTTTTATCCAAAAATTAAAAAAAAATCAAAATCGAATATCCGATTTAGAATTCCTTGATGAAAGTATAATACAAAAGATACTGAAATATAAACAAGATATTTATAGAAATAACACGTTTTTATAATCCACAACCGAAGAGAACAAATTATTTAGTTCATAATGTCTCCGAATTTAAATGGAAAAAAGATACTGAACTACACGAAGTATAACGGAATACATGGCTACACATGCCAAGTTTAGAAATGTACAATCAACTACACGAATTAAATATATTGCATGCCATATACCAACTATATGACGACATGTGATCAACATCACGAACATTTTAATCTGGTACACCAATAATCAAAATCCGGCGTTGACCATCGTTGACTGGTATTAACCAACAAAAATATTCAAAAAATTTATTTTTATTTGTTTTAAAATTCTATTGAATCTTTTATGGTACTGTATAATTAAAGAAGAAATCACATTCTATATTCAACATAAAGAAATTTTGTATTAATACATTGATTATTATAATTAGTTAGTTTTTTCAATTTCAAAACTAAAATAAAAATGAAATAAAAACAATTAAGCGAATTACTTATTTTTACATTGTCAATAAAAACATTAACTTATTATTTTACAAATATTTTTGCTAACATCAATATAGTTAATTTTCTATTTCCTATATATTAAAAAAAAAATTGCAACCTTTTTTGTTGTTTACGCGTTATTACGAGAATGTTTTTTAATAATTTTAACTGCAAAAGTTACCAATGTATTAAATTTAGACTAAAGAGTATGTAAAATTTTCTATATTTTTTAACTATGTATCATGATTTTGATTTTAGCATAAAACTTTATATTTTTTACCATGCCAACTTTAGATTAAAGTGTCATATATTCAATTTTTCTAATAAAATTTATTTTATTTCACTTTTAATTTAGTTTTGAAGTTGAAAAATCAACTAATTATTGGAATCATACAAAATATTTTTTGTTAAATATAGAATGTGTTTTTTTTATTATTATACAACACCATAAATGATTCAACTGAATAATTCTTTTAAAATAAATAAAAATATTTTTTTGAATATTTTTGTTGGTCAATGCCGATCAATACCGGTCAACGATGGTCAACGCCGGATTTTGATGATTAGTGTACCAGAATAAAATGTTGGTGATGTTGACCACATGTCGTCATATAATTGGTATATGTGGACATGCAATATATTTAGTTCGTGTAGCTGGTTGTACATTTCTAAACTTGGCATGTGTGGTCATGTATTCCGTTATAATTCGTGTAGCTCAGTATCTTTTTTCCAATTTAAAACTTTCAAGTATTGAAAGGGAAACTGTTAGTATGTGAGGAAGTTTTTAGCCATTTAAATAATTTATGTACTTTTGAGTTATAAGAAATTTTATTGAGATTCAATAAAAAAATTATTTAGCTTGTATGGGTTTCAATTTTGAATGTGAAACAGCAGATTCTGGCCCGTAGGAATCGCACGGAATCGAGATATAAATTTAGCTGGATTTAACAGAGCGAGGTGACGTCCGCTTGCCTTTTTGGGTGAAAATGACGTGGACTACTATTTCCACGAGACGTTACTTATCATATCGGAGAAATTTTAAAATGTTAAAGAAGCTTGAGATATCGTGAGAAATAAAATATTTATCGGGTGACGATATGAATGAAACTCGAAAGCGACAGATATGAGAGAGAGATATCGCTGCAAGCAAGTGCTTCTCATTTGATAGGGACAACTGATAAAGATAAAGTTGGTGTAATTAAAAATACCACTAACCACTATGTTACATTATCCATTTATTATTTGGGCCACAAAACAAACGTAGAGAAGAAAATGTCTTAACATAAAACAAAAATATCTTTTTTGCTGAGTTATTTCAAGTTTTATTTTCTAAACAATCCAATTCAGTAAATAATAGGATAGTAACTTCGTAAAGAGAGTAATTGTTAATCTCATACGTATTTTAAATAAATAACATGTGAATAGCTTATCATCATATCAAATAACGTGTAATTTATAACAAACATGTGCAAAATTTTGAAGTTCTGATTTTGTTTTCACTGCATTAACCCTTGTTTAAACCTCAAATATGTAAACAACGTGACATGATTTGGATTCGCACCAAAGTATTTAGACTTGGCCATGTGATTAAAGATATATATTTTTTACAAAGCTTTTTCTTTTCGTATGAAATGATCATTTTAAATATTGTGAAAGTTATCATTTATTTTAGTAAAAAAAAAGTGGATATTAAACATTAAACAAACTAAGCGAATTTATTAATTGTTCTTGTTTTATCAAAAAAAAAATATTAAACAAACTAATAGACAGTTTTCCTATAACAAAAAGAAAAACAAAAACAAAAAACTAACAGAGAGGTTTTAATTTGAGAAATTGTTAAAAATGCCCCTTTTTCAATACCCTTTTTCAAAAATGCCCCCTTTGAGAGTCCATTTTTAAGTTTGCCCTCTTTTAATTTTTAATGACCATTTTACCCTTATTTGAAACAAAATTAGGTAAACAAAATACAAAATATTTTTTGGCGGGAAAAGTGATCCCGCAATTTTCCCGCCAAAACACTTGTAAAAAACCTTTAAAATACCTTGTAAATTTTTCCGGCCAAAAATTTTTCCCGCCAAAAAATTTTTTTTGCGGTAAAAGTGATTCCGCAATTTTTTTGGCGAAAATTTTTTGGCGGGAAAAATTTACAAGGTATTTTAAAGGTTTTACAGAGTATTTACAAGTGTTTTGTAAGGTTTTACAATGTATTTTAAAAGGTTTTACAAGGTACTTATAAGGTTTTATAAGGTATTTATAACTTGTAAAACCTTATAAAAAACTTGTAAAACCTTATAACTTGTAAAACTTTATAAAATAGCTTGTAAAATCTTATAATATCTTATAAATACCTTATAAATACGTTGTAAAACCTTTTAAAATACATTGTAAAACCTTATAAATACCCTGTAAAAAACCTTTAAAATACCTTGTAAATTTTTCCCGCCAAAAATTTAACGCCAAAAAAATTGCGGAATCACTTTTCCCGCAAAAAAAATTTTTGGCGGGAAAATTTTTTGGCGGGAAAAAATTTTACGGGAAAATTTTACAACGTATTTTAAAGGTTTTACAAGTTTTTACAAGTGTTTTGGCGGGAAAAATTGCAGGATCACTTTTCCCGCCAAAAAATATTTTGTATTTTGTGGACCTAATTTTGTTATATTTCCTTATATATTTGTGATATCTTTTATTAAAAGAAGGGTAATTTAGTCATTTTGTATATAAAAAGGGGTATTTTTAAAAATGGACAGCCAAATGGGGCATTTTTGAAAAAGGGGCATTTTTGTGAGTCTCCCTTTTAATTTTTGTTAGCAAAGTAACATTAAAGTTCTCTAGAGAACGACTATATGGTAGAAAGAAAAAAAGAGGTTTTCTTTTGTTTTCTATTGGTTTCACCCAAAGTACAAGTAATTTTTCTTCCCCAATTATTATTAGAGGATTATGGATCGATCTTAACCTATTCATTAAACGTGTTGGATAGATCCATTATCCATTTAACAATTTGTTCATAATAACCATGGCAACAACAGATCTAATGAAGGAAGGGTTTGTGGGATCGTGTGATACTAGCTAATAACTTTTTTTTTTTCTTTTTCCGACAACCACACATTAATTCCTAAGTTGGTGATCTAATTGGGAGCAAAAATGTTATACTAATAAACTATTATAAAATTTTAGTTTCTAAAGATAATTTTTACTGATTGGTAGAAGTAGAACTTAGAAAAGATTGCTAAACTACTCTTTGACCCCACTAAAAGATTAGAGTTTAAGTCTTTATTATCCCACAACATTAAAAAAAAAAAACAACTTCACCATCAAAACATAACTTTATTCTCAACTTTTTTTTTCTCCCTTTGTATCTATATTTTTCCAAAATTTTATTTCTTTGTATCCATAAGCCTTTATTGTTAAGAATTTATTTATTCCTTTTTTAAAAGTATAACCATTTTCTCATATATTACAGTAATTTATTTATTTAATTCTAAGTTACTATATTATGTGTCTATG